GGAGGAGGAGGAGGAGGAGGAGGAGGAGGAGGAGGAAGATGATAATGATGATGATGATTTGACATTGGCCTCACATTGTATTGAGAACTGGCACCAAAAAAAAGATGTTTTTTTAAAGGGGTTAAATGTACGAGGTAAGCAATCAGGTGCAAAATAGCGCAAGGAACCGGAAGCCAAAAGGTAAAATTGCAACCATATAATTATTTTTCAGCAGAATAAATATACTGGAGACTTGAAAAAAAAAACTAGCTATATTTACTTTACTATTTCTGAATTGGCAAAACGTCGAGCATTTTATTAATTATATCTAAAAATGACGATGATGATAATGAACCCATATCTTTAACAATAGTGCTCTCTTAAACTTTTCAAGTCAGCATTATCATTATGAGTAAATGTTCTGCATTATTTGACTTCCAATACAAGTAACGTATCTACCTCGCTCACTCATTATTGGAGCAGAGGAAGATAGGACTAACGTTAACATTACTTAAACACAATTCCAAATCATTTCTCATCATCACCATTATTTCAAAAATGATCATTGCTCTCAGATCCTTGACTTACATCTAAAATCATTGAATCTCTATCTGTAACAGTTAGGCCTACATGTTATATTAAGTATGTACGTAATATACGATATGACACCTTCAGTATCATACGCACTTTTTCTACTAATCAGATGGCGTCAATCTCATATAAATGGGCAAGGGATATTTTTAAAAGTATTTACCTCGCTGGCACCCTCTGGCATTGCTCCTTCCCGCGCCACAAGCGGCGTCTTGATGAGACCAGGGCTGAGACAGACAAAATGCACAGTTACGTGCTTGCGATCATAAAACGATAAGGTTCTGACTAATTTTGTAATGTTTCGAGTTAGAGCCTCTTGAGCACCCCCCCTACTCCCTGGACAGCACGACGTGTGAAAGTTGGAATTCGTTTTTCTTTCATTTCCTGAGATAAAACTGAGTTAATCTTGTAATTCATTATTTTGTAGGAGATAAACATTATGAAAACGATATATTCAAAGGTCTCAGAGAGTAACTGGTATAGAACACAGTTTTCCATTAAAAACATAACAAACGAAATACCAAATTTGTGGCACAACTTATTGTCAAAAATCTCCTCAACTGTGAATGGAGCATGGAATCTCCAGCTTTTGCACAATGATTCGCATCAATTTGTCTCAATAGACCAACATTTCTGTATAAACCTGTTTGCCGCGTACTAAAAAATCCTTAATAAATACTAATTAAATATCTCAGTGGGTAGTTTCAACAGATTTTCACAGGTTTACATCCCATGAGATAGGACAACGTCATTTCGCTACCCCAGAATTACAAAGTTTTATCTGCTCAGACCTAGTTTTGAGACATCAAAGGAAAGTAAAAGTGTCTTCGCTCGTATATTGAGGAGCATCAATATTGACAGTTGGACATACATTGCATATCCAATGAAATAAAATGTTACTAGAAGTTATGACTTTTCCATATTTTACATTTTTCTTGATGTAGAGGAAATACAAAAAGGATGCCCCAGGCACTAAACTTGGAAAATTCCGAGTTACCACCTTGTCATTCTGAAGTCGCGAATTGTTCAGCAGTACAACGCTGTCCCACTTATAAGAGAGTTTACATAAATGTGTTTAGACGTCAAGAGAAGTTCACAAACCTGACAACATTGACTCTTATTCCGTCCCCACCAAACTCTGAAAGGCAAGTAGAAAAGACGTTACAAAAATATGTGCTAGCCTTACAGAAAATATAGCGTCGAATGTAAAAATAAACATTTGCCTTCCATCCTGAGCTCATAATTTGACCTAGAGCCCACTTCCAAGATCTCCACTTCACGTGGAGTCACTTTGGGCCGCGTTCCATCTGAAGAGAGAGATGCTCTTAACTAACTTTAAGGATTTCTTTTTGCCTTTCTTTTTAGAAAGACAAAAGGGGGTAGGGGTATCATTCACCTTCAAGAACCCAAATAACTATCACCTGAGACAATGATTTCGCTTGAAACATTGTTATTGAAATATGGCCGTGGTAAGAATATTCTCATCTTCTAAATTAAAAAGTATTATAATTAAGTCATGTTAACATTTTATTCAGACTTATGTTTATATGCTGCTACTCAGTTTCGTTTGCGCATG